CAAAAAACCGTTTTTTAGCAATTTTCTCTTAATAAATTGCACATTTTCACACAAGGGTTACCTTCAATACTAAAGTGTATTTTAGGGTGCGATTTATAATATTCATATTGCTCTCAAAAATAAGCCATTTTTATGAAAATCAGAATTTAGATTTGCAAAAAAATGTTTGCAATTTACATAAGAGAAATAATTTTTTTCATATTAACACTTAAATAGAAAGATTTAAATATATATTTTTTTGCGTGATGTAGCTGGTTTTTTTGAAAATCTCTCTTTAAAGACCTTAAATGTACCATTTAAAAAAGTAGTTTTGCCCAGAAGAGATAAATGTGGTGGTACGGAAGAGGGTATAGTGATGGATCATGGATTCCGGAAGGGAAAAAAGCTAATATGTGGCCCGGAAGAGGAAATATGGTGGCTCATGGCCGCCTGCCTTTTCCCGCTCCCACTATCCCCTATGTTCACGATAACCTTTTTCTATGGGCCCTGGAAAATTTGTTGTTGGAATTTTAAATTATAAACAGTATTTAAACCATTTGGCATTTGGGTCACACAAAAATAAATGCTTGAAAAAACAAAATAAAATTTTCCATTTTTTGAATTCCAGGGTTTACAGGGATTGAGTCTAAAATCGTAAATTTCAGATATTTCAATATTTCAAGTTGTGGTTGCGATATTACATTTAAACACTCCCTGGCCCTATAATATATACATCATTCCTGATTTTCGCGTAGGAGGGTGGGGGATTATTTTAATTATTTTAAATAAAAGAAATTACACTTTTAAAAATACTTTTTCTGAAGTTCCATGGAAAATGAATATCTGTAATTTTGTGCTTTGATTTCAATAGTTTCTTAGGAACCTTCTTTACTATAATTCTTGTTTGTATCTATGAATTGTTTTAGTTTAAGTTTTTATATCTCACAGTCTGCACATCTAATAAAAGTTATCAGATGCGTATCCATGGGGGGGGGGGGATCTTGTTTTTTTTTTTTTGGCCAAACGAGTGCTTAATACAGGATTAGCCACAAAGAATGAAACTGTAAAGACGACCTGAAACTCTGTTAATTTGATGATTCCAATTATAAATTAAGTGTTCTGCCTTAAATATTTTTTGGGGGTTATTCAATGATTAAAGGGACTGTAAAGGTAAAATGAAAGGGGGTATAGGCTGAAAGCTAATCACTTTAGCTCTTGATCGCGACCCATGAAAGTTGGATCTGATGTTCCTGTCTCGAGAAATTGATATAAAACTGTGTTAAAATTATACGAAAGTTCATAAATGTATAATTTAGAAAAGCTTAAACTTAAATCACGTGACCACTTTACTGCACTGCCATTGGTAGAATTTCTGGCCAAGTAATACGGATGTATAAATAATATTATGAATAAAATCTAATAAAAATAGAAATAACAAATATAAAATCAGAATTGGAGTAAACCTTTAAGTTACAATTAGCTTTCTCTGGGATATCATCGTTTTCAGATATGGTTGCATATTTGCTGAATTTGATCTATTTAAACCCACTACTTTTATACAAAATTGTAAATATATTAATTTTCGTATAAATTTGACAAAGTTGTATATCAATTTCTCGATATAGGAACATTAGATATAACTTTCGTGGGTCGTGATCGAGAGCTAAAGGGATTAGCTTTCATTTTTCCTTTACAGTCCCTTTAAGAAAAGAAAGAAACAAGTTTACGATTACAGGGAATCAGTTGGAAACAGATAGTATCAATTCTGTACAGTCGTCTCTGCTTTAGTTTTGAAGTTTTGGAGCTTTTGGGGGATTGATTTTAATCAAACATTTTTCTCAAAAAAGCGACAAAAGATGGTACAGGCCACAGGGTGTCCCAAAAAACATGGAATTATAATCTGAAAGATTTATTAATGTCTCTGTCAATTTTGTAAGTGCAAATATGGTTACATTTTGGAATTCCCAAGACTATAGAAGTTTGATTATTGACTCTTCTAACTTGTATACTACAAATAATGTGTTCACATAATAATACTACGAAATAAAGAGAAAAGAAAAACATATCAAAATTGTCAATACTAAAATACACCTAGATAACGCTCATAACGCCCAGGCATTGCCATCTTCGAATGGAGGGCCACTTGAAATTACGCATCGAGTCCTGTTAAATCTTAAATAATAAAGCTACCTCGCAGTCAACTATAACAAGAGATTAAATGCCATATGAAAAAGATTCAACATTGATGTGTCCAATTGAACCTAGCTACAGGAAGGGTATTTAATGTTTTTTTCAAATCAAATAGTTTTACTAGTAACTTAGTACGCAAATATTAAAATTGAAATGTGTCGATTTAAAATGTACAATTGCTGTTTCTTAAGTTCATTCGACTATTTAAAGTTAAATAAGTCTTAAAGTCCCTTTCCTAATACATAGTTTTCTGGAATTCTCACTGTATGTAATATCAGGTTAAATTTCCCAAAAACTTGCACTTGCCATTGTAAAATCTAATAAAACTTGTTCTGATTGCAGGAACACCGGATAAAAGAAGATCTTCCTGAATGATATTTTATCAAGAAAAGAAAATGTGATTCTCCAAATAAATAATCAAGAACGGAGAAACAATAAATATTCAATTCTTCATGTTGCAGAAGTTGAATATTAGAATGTAAACCTCACTTGAAACCATGGGCACCAACCTGCTTATCCAAGAATACCTGCCCTGAGTCAAGATAAACCAGAGCATTAAAAGGTATTTAAAACTCTTAAAGCCATGAATTAAACAATGATATGTGGAACCCAAACTCTTCTAGTCCCAGAGATAGGGACTTGAGAACACATTAACATTAGTCTTTGTTCAGGCAGAGTTACGACTCTGATATCTGGAAACAGCTGAACCCAATCCAGATACAGGTGAATAAATACATCCCTAAATCCAAGTTATTAAAAAGAAAAAACTTTAAGAAACTAAAGTTCAATTGAAAGCAAATGAAGATTGTCTAACTACAAACAAATGCACAAAGTTTATTTTGGAGAAAATATTCATTTTTTGTAATTATAATTTTATAAAACTAATGTGATTATTTTTCAGTTTTCCACCACTTTGGATGCTGTAAGAAGAATTTGCTCAATAAATGCTCAATACAGCGTTGACTTTTAAATGTGCGTGTGTAATAAGGCTAGAAATTCCAGAGCGCTTCCTGCATTGCGCTAAAAATGTTATAAAATGCACAGCCATAAGCTTGGCAATTAGCAGCACAAAATTTCTTTCATAGAAGTCATTTTTCTTGTAAAAAAATATTTTAATAACTAACATTATTTACCTTTGAAAGCACAGCGCTCCTTTGTTTACGTGAAAGTTGGCTAGAGGAAAGCCTGCAGATGTTGTCTGCAAGACTGCAATATACTAATTCACATCATACTGTCCAAATATTTAAACTTTTATGTCTTTGAAACATGAAACAAGTATTAGTTTTTTTTCGTATTCATGCGCAATATCAGACAAAAATTATGACTTTTATTATGTATTCATCCGCAATTTCGTGCATATCTGGTTTCGCATTGTAACGAAAATGTCGTGAAATTTCGTGCAGAAAAAGTCATTTCGTGCAAAAACGCGAAACTTTTGGGCAAGAGAATCTACTGTTTCGTGGAAACCCTTAATCACTATCTGACAATTTCAGTATTTTTCTTCAATACAGTTCAGATTTAACATAAAATCATTTATTTATATTCTTTTCTATTCTATCACAGGATTCAGGGTTCTTCTAACTAATAAATATGGAATGTAAAAATAAAATTAAGTCGATGTAAATATAATAAACTTTTGTGACAATAAACCTGAAAATATTTGGCTTCAACATTCAACAATACTGCATTGAGTAGGTTAACATTACATATAATTAAAGAAAATAATATATAGATCATTTTCAAAACAATAAATAAAATATTCGGAAAATGGCGGGAGGATCAATATCGGGGAAAATTTTTTTATATTTTCTTGAACAAATAAAAAATAAAAAAAACGGCCTCTTAAAATAGAATAATACTGAGTAAACAGCATTCTTGTATAACCTACAATACAATAAACAAACAGAACAGGTTGACTCCATAATCCTTCTAGTGATACAGGGTGTACTATAAAGAGTGAGACTTCTAAAACAATTATGTGAACTTTATGCTTTTCTTACATTTATGATAACCTGCCACTGCTACAGCTTTAAACATAATTCCGTCTAAACCAATTATTCAAATAAATAAATAAATAAATAAATAAATAAATAAATATAACAAACACCATGTCAACATAAACAAAAATACAGAACACGTTATTTTATCAAGATAGCGAAATTTCTTAACAATTGAAAGACACTCAAAAATCGTCCTTGAATTTTGGAGAAAAAAAAACACTTACAGCATGTTAACCTAATCTTAAAAAGTATGATTCATAAGGTGATCCTCCCATTTTCAAAATGTGTCTGTCCTTATGTACATTCAAAATTTCCAATGATATGAATGATTTCGTTCAGAATCAGACACTTTTGGTTTTGTTTAATAAATAGAAATCTTAACGAAATCACTCATATATCCGGTGACTTTTAACAACCAAGGGCAGACCACATTTTGGAAATGGCAAGACTTGGGTGACTTGGGTTATTTTGGAATGTTATTTAAAAGAATAATAATTAGGATGGCTCATAGGAATGCCGCAAATTATTTTAAAAATCTCAAGTCAAGTCGTCTCACAATTGTAAAAGATCCCCGTCTTTAAACATATTACTGTACTTTCTTTTAAAAACCAATCTTCCCCTAACCAAAAATTATTAAATTACGGGGTTTAATGGGCTATTAAAGTAGAAAACTAAAGAAAACTACAAATTTAATACAAAGGTTTTTTCATTTTAATTTAATACCTAAAAAAACAGAGTGATATTTTGAATAAAAATTTATGAAGAATGATAATTTTCTTTAATGAAGTAAAATAATTTAGCAAAAATCAGAGTATTTAGTTCAGTAATCGGTAGCCCCTACGTTATTCTAATATTTGAACCATCCCTTACTTTAAATCTACTGACCTGACATGTGGTGGTTGATATGAGTCCTGGTCCAGCCTACGCCTTCTGCACATATTCATTGCAGTTTGACGAATAAGAGAACCAAGAGCGCGCCTTGAAACAACCATTCCATCCACCAAAGGTATAGCCGTACTCATCCTAAACAAATATGTTTTGAATTCAATAAAAGTGAAAACGATTGAACCGATCAGGATAAATTTTTTTTATAGGGAATCACATAACTTAAGCCGATGCTGGTCGAGAAAAAATCTTGCTTTAAAATATTTTTATTTCTGATTTTTTTTAACCCATCAATCAATCAATCAAAACAGAAAAAACAAAATCATAGGAAACACTAGTTAAGGGTTTAGTAAAATTTTTACTTTTAAGTCAATATCCCTACCTGCCTCCCTGCCCTGCTAGCTTGATCCTAAGAAGTCCTGTACTGAGCGGATGAACGAATATAACAAGACAGAAGACTCCAAGTTCTGATCCTGGGAACAGAAGAGCATCCTCTAAACTCTCCACCCAGACCACAGCAACCTTGTGATCGCTACTAGTTAGGTTTCTCAACTCAGGGACATTCTGAGCTCTGCCAACCTTTCTCCGACTAAACCCATCCCTCTCCAGGTCTAAGGATAGAGATGCATCTCCCTCATCTCGTTCACTTTTACCATAAGAGGAGGTGGAACTGTGTGTGGAGATATTATCTTGAGCAATGAAGGATGAACCTTGAGCAGAGCAAGGACGGGAATCTACAGGAGACCCTGACGGAACAAGAAGAGCTAGTTCTGATGATACATCTGCCCAGTAGAGTAGACCTCGTGATCCATCGAACCTGACTGGGCCTGGTCCCTGGTCTAAAGGCGCTGGTTCCTCCAGAATGCACCAACTAGTTCCCATGTCTCCAGTCCAACCTGGATGAGAGGCTACACTTGCCGGCCAACCTATAGCTGCCAACATCTCTAGATAAAGAGGATTCAAATCCCCAGCCGAACTATTTGACAAAATGTCTTCGCTTTGAGATTGTCCGGACCGGACATAGTAAGCATACATTGTGTCGAAGGTTCGGGGACTTAATTTATCCAGGTTCTCCAGGTCCATTGAGAACTGTGGGGTGTCATTCTCCAGCGATACTAAACGAGGAATAGGGGAGTCTAGTGCACCTCGCAGGGCTGGGATGGAGAGAAACCCTAGATGAGAGAGGATAAGACGAGCGGTTTGGAACTCTGATGTTGGCTCTGGTGGAGTACTCTCAAACTCGACACTGTAGCTATCCTCTTCTTCTATCCTGTGGGTGAGCTCCTTCTCTAAAATGGACTGCTGCTCCATGAGCCTAGATAACCTGTCCAACTCTTGGGCAGTATTCTCATCTCCAGCTATACTCTCTACTGCAGGAATAGACCTAAATATTTATACATAAAACAAAGGAATAAAAACACACATTTTTAAGATATTACCTGTCCGCGGCACAAAGGGGGATTCTGTCTATTGAGTCAGGAAAGAAGCAAGGTTTAAAATCCTTCCTTGTCCCCTTTTCAGACATCGCCAGTGGTCTTCCCGGATTAGCTGTTCTCTGAACCTGACCCGATTTGTGACGCGGCAAATGGCGCAATTGCAGTGTCCAGACAGCCTTGTTACTAGGACATCTAATAATGGCTGTAACAGTTGGCTGTGGATCCTGACTGTTTCCCAGAGACTCCTCTAGAACCCCCAGCACGACTGTTTGGTCTATGACGAAGTATCTAAATGCCTGGACCGCAGTCTGGTTGGTAACCTGCTCTCCACCCCATGAACTGGACTGCAGTAGGAGGGTAGACTCGTCCAGAAGAGAGCTCAAGGACTCAGATCCAGATAAACTTGGAAAATATCCAACCTGAAACAGGTTCAATTAAGTTAGATGTAGAAAAGTAAAAAATTAACTTTAAATCTTTGAAATCTGAATTTAACTCATTTTAATGATTGATTAATCGTTACTCCAGGCTTACCTGCTCCATTACAACAGAGAGGAAGTTTTCTGCTGCATCCTTTACCCTCTTTGAGACCGGGTTCAAGGCCTTCTCCTCCTTCACTACTGGAGGGTTACTGCTCTTCTGGTGAGACTTAGAACCTTAATTTTTTTTGTTTAAATTAATTCCTATACGGATTCAAAGACTGATTTATGCGCAAGTAAAAAATAAGTCAGGGAGTTAGAGATGGACATGTTCGACAATTTTCATATCGTTTTTCGGGTTTTTTTCAATTGTTCAAAAAAAAATTTTAATTTCCCAAAATTATCGTTCATTTTCAATCTATTTCGTTCATTTTCCATCTATTTCGTTTGTTTTCTCACTGAACAATTGTTCAGTAAAATCTTTGTTCAATAAAAGCGTTTGTATAGTAAAAAACGATAGTTTTTTTAATTTGTTCAAAATATCATGCGCTTGTTTTTTTTTCATTCGTTTTTAAAAAATAATAATTTTTACATTTTTCTGAGCGATCCATTTTATTCGTCCATTGTTCGTCGTTTTTTCTGAACCACACCCTTTTCCTGAAAATTTCGTTCGTTCTCAAAAATTTAGTTTGTTCAAAAAAACCATGTCCATCTCTACCGGAAGTTATTAAATAAATTGCTGAATTGGGTCAGGAAAGTAGGAGAAAAGTTATTAGGGAACAAATTTTATTTATTAGCGAGATGCAATGGAACTCAGTAGACTTAGTAGAAACACTTGTCTTGGGCGTAAACCGATTAGGGCAAAAGAAGTGGTTCAACAATTAGTCGGCTTAGTGCAACTACTTCAAGTTGTTTCATAGTTCAGTGACCTCTACAATACCTTTAATGCTCCTATTTAACCTTATTACTGATATTTCTAGTTCAGCTTCTGCTACTTGACCTCCTATCTGGTACTCCTTGTACAGTGACCCTTGTTTGACCTCAACATGACATCTGCAAGTCCTCTGAAACCTCAGCAAGACTTCTACAAGACCTCTACTTAACCTCTTCAAGACCTCTACTGACCTCTACATGATCTCTACATGACCTCTACGTGAGCTCTGCATGACCTCCGCATGACCTCTGCATGACCTCTGCATGACCTCTGCATGACCTCTACATGACCTCTGCATGACCTCTACATGACCTCTGCATGACCTCTGCCTCTGCATGACCTCTGCATGATCTCTGCATAACCTCTGCATGACCTCTGCATGACCTCTGTATGACCTCTGCATGACCTCTGTATGACCTCTGCATGGCCTCTCTTATAACCTCTTACCTGATATTCCAAGTTCAGCAACCTCTACCACAGAAGCCAAACACTCTTTATCTCCTAGTAGGTAAGGATGATGGACAAGCCAGGTCGCGCACACCTAAATATCAGGCTTTAATTTGATGATCTATCTCAACCCGGGGATGTTTTTTTCTGTAAAACTCAACCCCGCCTCTCCCCCATTTTCAAAACTCAATTTTTCACACTTTTTTGGAAAATTAAACAAAAAATTTTAAAAAGGTTTTAATCGCTGAACTGAGTAAAAAATATTACCGGGGAAATATTTACAAGTTTTCGGGTGAAAAAGAAGAATCAAAGCAAAGGATACCCATAGTTCTAAATAGCAAAGGATACCCATAGTTCTAAGTGGATTAAGTGGAATTTTTCCACAATTAAGAGATTTTCCCTTGCCCAGTTATAGCATTTTTGTGGAACATGTTTTAATTTCTGCTACTAGGTACCTGGAATGCTGCTACTAGGTACCTGGAATGCTGCTACTAGGTACCTGGAATGCTGCTACTATACTACTGTGTAGATCCTTGCTATGGGCTTGGGGAGGTCTGGAGCATTGTGTAACAATATAGTCACACAACCACTTCACTGCTCTTTTACATTCAAGAGCATCTAAAATATAAGAGCATTGAGTATGAGTAATAATATAAGCAAACAACCTTTTCACTCCTCTTTTACATTCAAGATCATCTAAAATATAAAAGCATTGAGTATGAGTAATAATATAGGCAAACAACCTTTTCACTGCTCTGTTACATTCAAGAGCATCTAAAATATAAGAGCATTGAGTATGAGTAATAATATAGGCAAACAACCTTTTCACTGCTCTGTTACATTCAAGATCATCTAAAATATAAGAGCATTGAGTATGAGTAACAATATAGGCACATAACCATTTCACTGATCTTTTAAATTCAAGAATAAGAGCATTAAGTAACAATATTGTTACACAACCACTTTACTGCTCTTTTACACTCAAGAGCATCTAAGATATGAGAGCATTGAGTTGCAATATAATCACACAACCACTTTACTGCTCTTTTATTTCCAAGAGCACCTAAAATATTAGAGCATTGAGTAACAATATAGTCACACAACCACTTTACTGCACTTTAACACTCAAGAGCATATAGAATATTAAAAAAAATTGAGTAGCAAAGTCACACAAACATTTTAATAAATTTAAAAAATAATTTTTTTATGAATGAGTAACAATAAATTCAGAAAAGCCCCTATACTATATTTAAAAACCTAGAATATTACATTACAGTGACGTTGTACAGCCACTTTGTCAGAGGCGCGCCCTCCCCTAGCACCTGAGAGGGGGGGCGCCCCCCCCTGCAGAATGAAAAGAAAGAAAGAATGGCGAAAATCAGTATCACAGGAACAAGAAAACCAATAAGAGTTATTGTAGAAATTTTATTAT